GGTAAAATGAATTAAACATTAAAATCCTTGTTAGCTACTAATTGCCAACTTCAATTCTTTTGAAGCATGAGCTTTGCTAAGAGCTGGACATTTTGTTAAAAAGCTTTGTCAGGTGATTATTTTCCTCATTGCCAAGAAATGCACAGGTTTGCTAATTCCAAAGTTCCTCTCAGTCCTTGCATTGGGGTACATGCAGCTTAGGGTCCTCCACCTTCAGGAACATCCTTCTACTTGATTTAGTAAAGCTGTAATTCTGTGCATGGCATATATAGATTCCTCTTCATTTATTGAACTCTATGAGGGAAGTATGAGGATGTGTTTGGATGTGGAAAGTGTTCCCAACTTGCTGAGAAATTTTTCAGCAAATTAATCCAATAAGTAAATTATTAAAAATCATTATGTTAACTGAATATAAAGAAATCAGTGTTAAAATATAATTCAAGTGTGCTGGAAAACCATAACTGAATAGGGGTTTATTAGCCTGCAGCTACTCAACTGCTCCTTTGATTTACTGTACTGTCTGTGTGCCTCTGACCACTTGACCAGTACCAAGCACTTTGTGGCAAGCTGAATAGAATGAGTATACCTTCATGGAATTTACATTTAAAGTAATGTTTCTTTTTATCCAAAGTATAATTATTTCCTGTAAAGCATAAAGGACTATGCTATATTTAAGGATAATTTCTAAGTCTACTTCCCCTATTTTTAATTGAAATGGTTTTGGGCTTAGTTTTACCTATAGCTAAAGGCTCTACAGAGTTACAACTGTACGTGTGTTTAATTTCCTAATACACACAAAAATAATGGACATGATTTCCTTCAGACATTTCCACAATATAGAGCACAAAAGATGTTAATGAGAATGGAGATGGAAGAAGGAGTTGAAAAAGCAAATATGTAATTTAGTAGCAAACTACTATCATAAGTAGTTGCTGAGCTGGTATTTGTGCCTTTGAAACACGGTCTGTTTCCCAGTTAGCAGTTCAGACATTTTTCAGACAATAAGAATTTCTTGTGACATATCTCCATCAAGTAAGAATCATACAAGCTGCAGTAATATCATATGCTAAATTAAAATGCATTTCATAATGCATAATTTTGTCCATAAACTTGTTATTTGTGCATGTAGTACTGTATACTGTGCACCAGTAACCTTGAGAACTAAGCATTTCCTACTTTTGCTTCAATATTATTTTATTTGGCTTGCAAAACTTCACAAAGTGTCTCATCTTACTGTTGTGTGCACATGGAATTTTCTTTCTGTTTGCTATCTTATTATATTAAGTATACTGGAGTATTCAGTCATGGAAGTACTTTGTGAAATTACATCTATTATACCACTGGAATATGACCTGATTTATTATAAGATCAGAGCAAAGCTCAAATACTCAGTGCATTATCCTAAATGAAGCTTTGTCTCTGAGGCCTGCCATAGCCTTCATTTTTATCATTATGTTTTAGCCACTGATTTCCCTTTAGAACATAAATGCCATAGTAATACTGCTTGGTAAATGTTTCTTCAATATTAAGTAACCTCTTGTTCTACCAAGGGGAGTGTCAAATTCTCTTCCCAATCTGTCTGTCACACGTTGTTTCTTTTTTCCAGCAGAAGAGGTGAGCTAAGTAAGTTTGGTAACTCAGTTGTGGAAGAAATGCAGATTGCAAATGAAGTTAAAGGGAAGGCAAGCAACTTTTCAGAGCTTGCTTGTTTACATATTTTTGATTGCAGTGGTTCCCAGCCCTTTCAGAGAGCCTCACTGATTTTGGATCCATTCCTTCTCTTTGAGTAATACGTGCTGTTCGTGCCTCCTTCTGTGCCTGCATACCCTGCTCTGTCCTGATGCTGTTTCCTCTGCACCTCCTCCTTTCAAAGTCACAGACACCTCCTTTCTCACCTTCCAGAGCAGTTCGTCCTAAAGTAACCTGAAGGTGGGGAGGGGCAAAAGAGAATCAAATATTGAGGCTTAATGCGTTGGTAACCAGTGGGCTTCCTAGATGGGGCTGAAGAAAGCTCCTAGGAGAGCTGGAAAGGTGCTCAGGTGAAAGTGACTGTGATTTGGAGATGGGGTTGCAGAGATTAGCCAAAAGCTTATCAAGAATATCTGTAAGCAGTGGGTTTCACGGTTTATAACTTTAAAGGTGTTTTATTTTTAAAATTCCTTAGGTTTGTGTTTTCTGCCTTTTTTCATATATTGTAGGCTGAGACAATGACAAATAATTGGGAAATTTTATCAGCATAAGATATAAAATTTCTGTATGATGCATGATTTGTATTCCTGTAATTTAATTATCTTGAGTGTTTATTCGGGGTGTAAATGCTGGAAACAATGACATTTCTGAGATGATTTATGAGGTACTGCACTTTGTAATCAAACCTTCTATGTGGTGTTTGTAAAATATGAAGTGTTATGAAATTGCTGATAGTCAGAAAAAGAACATTGATAATGGGCTTAAATTCTCTCTGTGCAGCTGTAGATGAGAATTGGTAGGAAACAGGGAAGCAGGAGCAGTGTCAGCTGTATAGCAAAGATTAGTAACTGAGATATCGTATGTCTGAGAAACATGTACAGTCTTTGCAGTGAATGTGATTTTGTGTAGTTCCAGCTTTACATTTTAGACAATATTTTATTAGTAAAAGTTCTTGTCACAGATCATGAAAAATGCCTTTAATAGCTTTCCCAGAGAAAACTGTGTATGACCTTTTGTTGGGTACCAGAGAAGTTATTTCATTAAGAGATGTGTGTCAAGAGAGTATTTGTAGTATATTTTATTTTACCTATTTGTGATGTAGCATGTAGAGAGAACAGGAAATATCACCAAGATTCGCCATGTAGATTCTTCAACTAGCAGCAGGTAGTGGGGAGACAATATTTATCATTTGTGACCTGTCTCTGTAAAGGTCAAGGGCTCCGTTTGCCATAGGACAGAAAACTATGGCTCCTGCCTTTCAGAAATAATTTTAAGCATAATGAAGTTAATGGCAGTGGTAGTTAAAATGTTGGGGTGTTTTAAAAGAGTTTTATAAAGGTTTAAAGGGGTTTTCAATAAAGAACTTGGTATTCCTGCAAAGCTTCATACTTTATAGCGTTGCTACATTATTATCTGAGCAGAATTAGAACATATTTTAGATTATGAGCTGTATATATAATCAGTTGCAAGGCCTAGCTGTTCTTGACTGTTCTTCTATGTGATAATACAAATATTTCTGATATAAGTAAATAAATGCATAATACATAAAAATGGCAAAGAAGAAGAAAATTAAATAATACGGAGCTGTGGAAATGACCTGGATTAGATAAGATTTAGATCAAAGAGTAGCTAAAAAAAGAACCAAAATGGAATTGTCATTGAATGTGGAACCAGAGTTGCCCAAACCCAAACTTTTCACAACTTTTATTAATAAGGCGGAACATAACATAATATGCTCTTTAGACTGCAGTAGGACCTGACATAATCAGGGCCCAAGAAAGGAGAGCACTGTATAATACTTCAGTTTATAAAGATACGTGCTCTTATAGTTCCAGAAGGCTAAGAAGTCCTCAGAACACTTTGCTGAGTAAAGCCTCTTTCCCACTTCAGCTTACTCAGCTGAAAAAAGGAGTTCATAAAGATTTCAAGGAAAACATACTTTGTTGCACAATGACTGTCCCACCAGAGAGAAATCTTTGAGACAGTAATAGTGACCTTCTTTTTTATGAGCGTTTTGAGAGCAGAATTACAGATATAGTTCTTTATTAGATCTTGGTGCTCCTGTAAAGCTGATAAGGAAGGAATGATGATGGGTGGTTTTTAAATTTCTCAATTGTAACCTAGCCAATCTAGGCTAGCTCTCTTAAAAATTAGTCTAGAGCACAGGCTGTGAACCAGAGCTCAATAAACAGAGAACATTAACCTCATATGTGTGTGTATGCTTCAGTTTAATAAAACTTCATCCAGGGCAGCAAAATAAATCAAGAAATTTAATGAAGGGATTTTATTAAGAGGCTTTATTTTAATTATTAGGACTTCATTTTTGTACTATGTGAGGTATAGTTTTTAAATTTTATTTTAAACCTAGGCTAATGGGACAAATTTTGTCTTGGAACTTTGAGTGCTAATATAAGTAATTGCAAGCACATAAATAATAAAGAGCAGCAATAAAATACTCGAAGGAGAGAATTTTGTGACAGGATTGTTTTTTCCAACCACTGAATGAAATTACTGTTTTGCCCAGGACTGTTTTGTGTTTCCTGAAAATGTTATTTACTGATGCATGAGTGTTTCTATTGTAGAATAAGCAGCAGGACACTGTTATTAGCCTTTGCTAACATCCTGTTGCAGTGGCTTTATCACATAAATAAATGAATGCATAAGTGTGCATTGGTATGAATACTTTAGGTAAAGGCCAGGCAAAGTAATAATCACAGGATTTGGTGTGACATTTTGCCAGCACTCAAACATATTCCTGACTTTTCTAACATTTGTTTTTCAACTCATAAATATTTCTACTAAGTAAGCACACTGTTAAATGACACTGGCTTCTGTGGAGAGATTAGAGTATTAATAAAACGTGAGACAAAAGGTGTTGGTGCTTGGTGGTTTTTAACCAGAGGAGAAAAGTAAAAAAAACCCAACATTTTTTTTTTAAGTGTTCTGAAGAACAACGCTCAGTTGTCTCTTTTTTTGTAACTTCCAAGTACACTCTTACTTTTGAAAAAAAAAAAATCAAAAAGAAATTTAAAACTTGCAATAACAAAAGTACATCTGAATGCCCTGTGAAAGGGAGGAGGTGTTGACTGCAAGATGTTGATATTCAAGGAAACCAGGTTGTGTACTTTATAAGAACCAGGAACAACTTCTAACATCCTGCGCTTCCTAATCCTGATGCAACTTTGATCATTTCTTCTTTTAAGCCATGTCTATAACTGGACCTAAGAATGAAAAGTGCAATTGTTCAGCTCAGACAGATAACTTTTATGTTTTGCTTTTTCATTCTAATGAAATCTTTCTCTCCATTTTAGACAAATATCACTTGCTGTGTCATAGCACATGGATTTCAGGACCACCTGTGAAGAGGTAGGATCAGATATTTTTCTTTTCAAACAATAGTAGAATGAAAAATCAATGAACTTTTAATCCTTTTTAGATACAATATCCTTTTTTTTTAACCTTTTTTTCCTTGAAATTTTAGGAATTATATAATCAAATATAAGTTATTCGCTTATAATCATATCACATATCATTATATCCCTTCATGCTGGCAGATAGACTTTGTACTAGAAGATGAATGACTTTTTCCAGGTGTATTCCTCACTAGAACTCACCTCTTTCTGTTACAATGTACCTCTTTAGGCACAATGTAGATGCAGGTAGCTATGTTTTGTGTGAGCTTTGCTCTTCATGAAGTGTTTATGTCTGAAATCCTGTACACAAAGAAAAACATCAACAGAGTCAGAAATCTGTCTGGTGCTGCTCAGCAGAACCAAGGAGGAAGTATAAAAGTATGGGAAAAAGGTGTGTTGGGAGAGAGAAGAAGCCGTGAAGATGACCAAAATTAAAAGCAGTTCCATTTAGATTTAATGAGGAAAGAGAGTAATTTTTACCTAAAATAAGTATAGTTTTATAATGTCAATGCAAAGTACAACAGTCCCCCTCCACTAGAGATGAGGGAAGGGCTTTGCTTTCTGTATTCATACTAACTTTGCCTTAAAGAAAGCAAATGAAATGTATGTGTAGACGTTAAAGAGGGCATCTTATTACTCAGTGATTGTCTATGAGAAGGTTTTTTTAACATGGTTTTAACAACTTCAGCAATTTAGATGCATTGAGAAATATTTACAATATTATAAATTATGTAATGATATCAATGCATTATTATAATTAAAAATCATGACCATTATCTATACACAGAAAACCACAAACAATGTTTAGGAAGTTAGAACTGGGAACAAGAGAACTGGCTAGAACTTCAAATGTGACCTTGATCCCATGAAAACATAGAAGTGAAGGGATGGGAACAGCACTCGAACCAAGAACTAACTGCAGCTAAAACCAGCTGTGATTTGAGAATACACTGGAATAAATCAGAGTAGAAGAGAAAGTAAGCAGGCTAAAGGACATTAAATCATGGCAACATTCTGAAAGGAGTAGTAAGGTCAAAAATTAATATTAAAGTGAAACTTACCTTTGGGAAAGAGCACTGTGATGCTTGTCCAGGGTGGTACATGTCAGGCTTTAATACCTCAGAAGATCCATGCACAGTCTAAATTATAAAGCAATGTATCCCAGATTATTTGCATGCAAGAAAGCATTCTTCTTAGTTTTTAGGTTTCTTTTTTCGAATAGAATATTTTCAGTTGAAAGGTACATGCAATGATCATCTAGTCCAACTTTGTGCCCACTTAGTGGCTGGCCAAATATTAAAGCATGTTATTAAGGGCATTTTGGTTTACATTTTATGATTTCTATTTGAATGCACTTATTCAGGAAGAGAGGCAGATATAATTTTCATAGAGGTTTTTTATGCTGTTATTCTTTAAACTGTACACTAGTATAGGTTATTTAGTGGCAATTAACTTTCCTCTGTGCCCAGCAGCAGTAATGACAAGGGCAGCACAGGAAAATGACTTGGCATATGCATCCTGTCTTAGTTTTTACAGTGCTAGTGCATTCATAGATCCGTTTCATTCTGTATCTAGCTTCTGATGGAGGCATAGATTTCAAATTTATCTCTTTACAATATCGACTACTTTCTTGGATTTTCCATGACAGACAAGGGAAGGGGAGGATGATTCCACACATCCTAAAAAATCTCCATAATCTGGAGGTCCTAAGGAAGCTCCTGTAACTTTTAGATTAATAAAATTAAATGAAGTGGATTCAACCCGTTTATATGCTTTGTGTAAAATGGGCTTTGTGCCACAGAATCAGTGGTGTCACTTCTGAGACTATGGTCTGCCTCTTTCCTCCCAGACTAAAGTTTATAAAATACAGACTTTCAACCTACTTTCATCAAATGCCCTATGTCTAAATAAATTATCAGCAGCCTTATGCTTGCACATAGTGTACTTTTTAGCTGAAACCTTAGCACTATCAATGTAATGTGCTATCTCCTTTGGTTTTTGCTTGGGGGAGAATAGAGTGAACTGGATCTAAAAGCCCAGGGTTGTCTGGGAGTCTGCAGCTCTGTATGCCCAGGTCCAGATGGTAGTGAGGGTGAAGATGTTTCCCAGTAGGCATATGCAGACAGGGCACACACAAACACTACATGTATCCATATATATGTAAATACTTATGCACATGACGAGCCACGCAGATCACGTACCAATACACAGAGCACTTGCACAGACAGCGACAACGGCTTCATCCTGTTACTCTCTCTGGCTGAGCAGGACTGAGGTCCACTCGTGAAAATATATGTCTATGTACACTGTGGATGCCTCCAAATGTCCTTCCAGGCAGTGTGCCCAGCAGCTATCCATGAATCCCAGTTTTCGTAGCTGCTGGCAGCTGGATATATGAGCCCCTTGAGGCCTCACCCCCTCTCCAGCTGCTGGAACAGTCTGTCTGGCTCTCTCTCTCTCTCACACACACACACACACACACACACACTATAGAATCTCTCACCCAGGAAAAGAATTAGAAAGTAATTTAATAGGACAGACTGTGTAGATCAGGCTCAGGGCATGGTTGGACAAGGACACTGACTAGAAAACTACATGTGACCAACCACTTTTTTCCCATTAACCCTCTATTTTTCTGTACTTGTTCCTCGATAAAACACTGAATTCCCTTCCCTGCCTTTACTTCCTTCCTTAAACATCCTGTTATAGCTCTTGTGCAATCCAGAACTACATCCCACAATGTGCCCCTTGCTCCCTTGCCATGACCTCCACTCACTGCAAGAAGTGTTATGGCATTTTCATATCATAATGGGTTTCACACTCTGACACTGGAGCTGAAGCTGTCCCAGGACAGCCCTGGCAGGGGACACAGACTGGGTGTACCTTTCTGAGTCCATAATTTGGCTTCCCACCTGCCATTTTGCTCCTGTAGTTCTCTGAGCTTGTGGTAATGGGCTCTCAATAGGCTGATGGAACTGGACAGGGTGTTATTTGGAATTTGAATTGCACCATCCAAATATCAATTAATTAATTAATAAGATTTTTTGTTAAGTCAGTATGAGGTGATGATAGTGACTAAGGAAAATACTGTTGTAGCACTATATCCTTAATTAACTTGTAATTCAATTTCATCTTGGCACATCTTTGGCAATAGTTTAGTCACTCCAAGCCACAAGGATTTTGATATTATTTTATTTATTTCAACTACTGTCATGAAACATAAGGTGTCTGTATACTTTGCTCCAGGTAATTTTGTTTAATTTGTTAACTAGTCTGTACATTTAAAACTTTTAGGCTTCTATCCCCTCCATCCCCTACTCTATCAAATTCTCAATCATACTACATATCTGTGAAAAATATCTCTGGTCTCTTATGCCAAAATATTTACTAAGCAGTTTTTGATAATGGCAGTAAAAGCTGTCATGAAGCATCTGAACTATTATCTTCCTCTTCTTACCCTTTTTGTTTCCTTTTGTCTGAGTATCTTATCACCCGTCCCAGTGCTGTAACAACCACCACTGAAGAACTGAGATCGCTCTCCCGAAATGACAGCTGGAGCTCAGATTCTTGTTGGTACCTCCACCCTTACTAGTGGCAGTAAATAATTTGAGCTGTGTTTTGATTAGCATAAAACAAAAATATTCCACATAGATACACTGAGGCCAAAGCTCCGTTTTTAGTGTTCATGACATACTCATTTCTTTTTCATTCATTCTAAATATCTGCTACTCTAGTGCACTGGATGTTCCTGAGGGAACCTTAGTTCTTCCACAGTACTGATGCTTTCATGCATCCCTTATTTTTTGTGGTGTCTGCTAGTGAAAGACACTGAAATGGTCTTGTCTCCTTGTGGAGACTTTGGGCGCTTTGTGCACTTTGAGCTCAAGTTCCTTCTGCAGATCTGAATGGTACAGTCAGTGCAATTATAGAGCTTAAACACACACACCATCTATAATGCTGCTGCTGCTTTTGAGAACACACGCAGGATCACTCTCGAGGAGAAAAGACAACACAGAAAGAATCGCGTCTTGTCGATATCACCTGGGGAGTCTTTCTGCTGTACATTCTGCAACCGGACTTGTCTATCTCGCATTGGCCTTTTTAGCCATCAGCGTGCTTGTAGCAAGCGTGGGTAGAGCCCCTCTCAAATCTTCGTTCGCGAAGCCTAGCCATGATGATGAGAGCTTAAACACATATATGTGTGTGTTTCTTGTCAACCCAAAGATGATTCCTGTGATCCTAATGATTACCTCCTCCCCTAAGCATCTTATCTTTAGGCTGTGCTGCCTTTCAAGACACTATAAAGTAGTTTTATTCTGCCAGAAAATACCTACTATGCTAGACAATTTAGAAGGCACTACAGAAAAAAGAGGTCTTCCACAAATACACACTTTTTTTAAAAGGAAAACTATCTGGCATCTGTTGAGGAAAAAATCATATTTTTTTCTATTGGTTTCTCTGCTTTTTAGTTCTGGGAAATTTTTCACTGTTTCCTTATCGATTAGTCTGTATTCCATGCTCTTTTCCCTCACTGATCAGCAAATGTATCAATTTTACTTGTTCTTGTACTTAAAAATTTCTAAACCATAAAGACTATCCACCTCCTCTTTTACCCTTTATCCTGAGCTTTCTGAACTTTACAAGGGCATAAATCATGGAGTCACTGGGTTCTTTAAATGCTCTCCTGTACTTGCTTGACCTTATTCTATATTCTGAAAACTATCTCTTGAAAGATAACCTCCATCTCTGAAATAATACTGTCCTCTGCAGTGAAAGTCCCCTTCTGATGAAATGGCAGACTTGGGATGATTATAATGCATAAGGACATTTTCCCCAAGATACTTTTTAATTTTTTTTTTTTTTAAGTTCAGATTTTCCAAGTACTTTAAGAACAAGCTGCATGAACAGCTTTCTAACTTTTCTAATTTTCTAACTTTTGAAATCTCATTCTTT